ACTAAAGTTATAAACCGTCTTTGAAGAACTGCCATCTTTAGGTGGTAAGGTTTTGGATTCCAACGATGTTTTAGTTAGCTTTATAATCTGACTTGAGCAAAACTAGGCTGGTAGAAAGTAAAATATGGCCAGAATACGATATCGAACGGATGCATGAAGTAACTGACCATTTCATTTGAACCATGTTATCTACTTCGCTTGAATCCTTAAGATATTAGAAATGCGATGAAGAAACTCCACTGGACGGCTATCAATCCAACCCTGTGGTACACTCAAGATTTAGCTAACCTGCAGAATCTTTATTACCTGTTTTATACTTTTTAAATTATGTTTACTTCTTCTGTAGGTTGCCGTTACATAGTGTAATTTTCTGTGAAAGACCTTTTGTTGCTTTGTCTATTAGTTTATGCATTGAAAACGTCGTGTTGAATTTCTATCGAAAATTCCTAATTCATGGTCAGTACAAAACCTCCTAAAACGCATGATAAAAATAATCCTCAATCATAGAAATACAGAAGTGGGTTTCACCTTCATAGTATCTCTCATTTTGCATATCGTCTTATCTTACTTTTCCACTACATCTTTTTTGTATCAAGACATTTTGAGGGAAGTGATTATTAAAGTCTTGAGATCATCAACAAGAGTAAACTGGTATTAATTGAAACACTCATCAGAAAGGTATTAACCGGCTTTCAGACCACATGAGCTTCTACCTGTTTTCACTATCTAATTAGATGAAAAGTATGATCACAACTTTCAGGAACAAACTCCTTCGATATTAGTCGGTAAAAAACAGTCATTAGCTTCTTTTTTTCACAACATATGAGGCATTATCATATATTTCGCCAGGGTGGTTAGTAACACTTGAAAGACAATCAGTAAATAAAAAAATTAGAGAAAGATAAAAATGCTAACTGATGACTTATATTCATCATGACAATAGTATGAATAACATGAATGGTCTCTATCGAGGCTGACTGAAATTGTTAGGATGCTTGAATACATATATGACAAGGGTTTTATACTAATGATGAATAGTGATTAGAAGTGGAATCCAGGACATGCGTTTCGTTCTATTCGAGAGCAGTCAGCTGAATGTACCTATCTCTCAGTGAGCGATTTTCTCCCCACTAAGACTCGAGTCCGCGACCGATCGCTTAAAACGCTAGAGTTATCCACTAAGTCACGATAGCCACTTCTTGTGGGACGAGTATGGTTCTTATGTTACTACTTGTATTAGTGGGAAAAACATCAGCTACTAGGAGACAGGCACTTCCAACTGACGAGTCCCAAATAAGACGAAACGGGCGTTCTGGACTCCACTGCTAGCCACTATCTATCGTCACCATAAACTGGAACGACAAGCAATATCGAAGCATCCGCGTAACAGCTTATATGTCAACTGCGATCAATCTGTTCGGTCCAATCCAACGACGGGATAATACAAGCAACAACATATATTTCAACATGCACAAAAGGCTGAGTGTGACAGGCCTCAAGCAGATGTCCAATGGGCTCTGCAGTCACACAAATCTCTTTCAGGTACCTTAAGAAGAAATAACCTTTCATGGTGTGGGCAGCTGGGAAGTGTCAACTGCCCTCAAAACTCGATCAGCACTCAACTTTCCTCAGACTGCTATCCACCTCCCCTATTATTACCCTCTAATCTTCCATCACGTCTCTCAACTAACGATACTATATCATCTTCAATTTCTCCTAGCTCTGTAGCCTTCGACAACGATCTGAGTCCACAGAACAGTATCCTTGGTCTTCTTAAACCACGCTCCAAATTACATATTGGAGCCTTCAATGTCCGTCAAGTTCGTCAACAGGCTTCGTTGACAAAGACTCTAGCAACTCGGGGCATGGATGTGTGCTGTGTTTGTGAGACACGCATACAGGACCTGAGTGTGGTTATTCACCTGACCTCTCCTGACCAATCTGGTGAATCCACAAAATTCACCCTTCTAGTTTCTGGAGATTCGATAGCTAGCTCTCGTGGTCTTGCAGGTGTAGGCATAGCACTAGGCACTAGGGCAGAAAACTCACTACTAGACTGGATCCCAGTTGATAGTCGCCTCTGCGCTATGAGGCTGAACGGCACAGTAAGAACTAAAAGGAATAATGAGACTCGCCATTGTCTCTTTGTAATCTCTGCTTACTCACCCACTGACTGCAGCTCGGATGAAGTGAAGGACGAGTTCTACCGTAAACTGTCTAACCTCCTGTCGGAAGCCAAGCATTCGGACATGGTGGTTGTTGCAGGTGACTTCAACACACAGGTGGGTAGACTGAGTGAGGCAGAAAGGCACTTAGGTGGCACTTTCGGAATCCTAACTGAACGTACAGATAACGGTGATCGCCAATTACAACTATGCACAGATAACCGCCTACTTTTAGCTAGCACTGATGAAAAGTCTACGCAATGATCGCGAACAGTGATGGGCAGCGAAGGCTAGAGAGATGGAAAAGGCAGCGGCGATCGGTAATAGTAGACAGTTATTTAGACTTACTAAGGAGACTGGGGGGTAAATGTCAATAACAGTTAGTGAGGCTATAGCGAAGAAGGACGGATCTGCGATTCACTCACAGGGGAGACGACTTGAACGATGGGCAGAACACTTCGAGGAGCACTTTAACTGGCCTCCACCCACCATTGCGTTGCCCGCTATCCAGTCAGATCCTGAATGGGACATAGAGAGAGGTCCCTCAACACTAGAAGAAGTTAAGAAAGTGGTAGGTAACCTGAAACAAGGAATGGCAGCAGGACCAGACGGACTACCTGCTGAGGTGTACAAGAATGGTGGTAGACTACTCTTAGTCAGGTTAACGGAAGTGTTAGCCAGTAGTATATGGGAATCAAATACGATCCCCTCCGACTGGTCTAAGTCACTCATCATCCCAGTCTTCAAGAAAGGCGAGAAGTCTTCCCGTGATAACCACAGAGGAATCAGCCTGACGAACATAGTATCCAAAATCCTAGGTTCTGTAATTCTCCGACGCCTGAGTGGAGCTCAAGAAAAGCAGACCCGAGAAAACCAGGCAGGCTTTAGACCTGACCGCGGGTGCATTGACCAAATATTCACGCTGCGCCAGGTCCTGGAACATAGGCATGCTTACAGACGCCCAACAATAGCTGTATTTCTCGACCTGAAGGCGGCAGCATTTGACTCCGTTGATCGAGAAGTCTTATGGCAATGTCTGTCACTGAAAGGCGTGCCTAGTAAGTACATCACGTTACTGAAAGCTCTCTACTCGAACACCTGTGGGCATGTTAGAGCCTATGGCGAGTTGTCCAGGGAGCTATACTCATCGAGTGGTGTCCGTCAAGGATGCCCACTATCTTATTTAATTTTATCATAGATATTCTTATGGAGGTTTCCCTCTCGTCACCTAATTACACAGAAGTTCACCCAATCAGAGGTGAATTTTCTTTAGATCTAGAATATGCAGATGACATAGTCCTGTTAGGTGAAGACACTGACAAGATGCAGAGTCTTCTGAACACTTTGAGTGGGAATTTGAGAATGTTTGGGATGCGATTTTCAACACCCAAATGCAAATTTTTGCTCCAGGACAGGTATTCAGCGGTACCGCGGCTAACAATAGAGAGTGAAGTGGTTGAGTGTGTTGACCACTTCACTTACCTGGGAAGTAGGATCAGTCTTGGCCTAGTAGCTCAGTGGCCGATGAAATCTCTGCATGGATACAAAGGGCTCGGCTGGCTTTCGCCAAGTTACGCAACCTATGGCGCAGCGGGGATATCCGATTGTTTATTAAGGGTCACGTGTACTGCACAGTAGTCCGCTCACTTCTACTGTATGGCTGTGAAATATGGCCATTGAAAGTGGAAGACATGACAAAGCTGGCTTCAATTGTTTGATCACCGCTGCCTTCGTAGTATTGACCGTATTTAGTGGTGTCACCACGTGAGTAACGCAGAAGTCAGGTATAGAGTTTTAGGGAGAAGAGGTAAATCAGTTGACGAGGTTATAAACCTTCATCGACTGACATGGTTGGCGCCCACATGTGTTACGTATGCCTAGTCACTGATTGTCTCGTCACACAATGTTGGCCGAAGTAGGTTCAGGCTGGAGAATGGCCCGAGGTGGTCAGACTAAAACACAGCATCAATGTATGAAGTCTGTGACTGTTGGTTTAAGAGATGTGGGAGGAGGGGGGGACAAGAGGAACCAGTGGTTGGAGACTGACTCTAGGTGATGGCATGGCTGAGAAGCGATGTGAGTGGCGTAGATGTATTCCCACACACATTATCCTCATCTTAACTACACTATACCGAATCTCACCATTTTCTCACTCCCCTTTTCTTTCTTCTCCTACTCAATATTTCTTCTGACTGCTTTTTCTTATACTTCATTCTTCACCTCACTACCTTTCTACTTGATGTAGTGATATGAGATGAGGTGTGGCAACTTGAACCATTACACAGTAATGCCTGGTCCTGATGATATTTCAACAGTTGGATGAATTACTATTTTGAACAAGCGCTCATTTAACCAAACAATCAAGCACTAAAAAATGAAAAGAAGAAAACACAAACAAGAAATAAACAAAACCTCATACAGTAACTGTTTTTCATCAATTAATATTTCTAACAACAAAGCTTTTTTTTTCTTCTTCTATTAACGAATCTACGCTAAAGGCGCCAGCAGTGTAACAATCATCTTACAAAATAAAAGGTAATAGAATAAAAAAAGGGAACTGTCTAAACATAACTTGTTGATACAAAGTAAGAAATTATGACTAAAAGTCTTGTGTTGAGAACATATTTACACATATAAACACCTTTCATTGTTATATCAGTCAGAAGAAACAATTATATCAGCAACAATTAAGAAAAAAATTACAGTTTATCAAATGGACAAATAATAAATCATTCTTTAAATACAAAACAATACATAATCACTTTAAAATAAACAATTAAATCAACTATTTTAGATAATTACAAAAAAGAAATATATGTAATGTTGTAATAATGACTAATTTGATGTAATTGTAAAGTCATTAGAGAATGCAATTGATCGTCGAGCACTTGTATTTCGTATAGAATTCGATGTTGTTTTAGGTATACTGATATTTTTTGAGAAAGCTTCAGAACCCCAAACTTCTATCAATGAAAAAAAAAAAACAACAACCCAAAAGAGATAGAGGTTATATGTAGGACGATTTGTATACAATAAATCAATTACATATGGCATTTTGTTGACAAATATAACTTCAGTTGCTATACATATTCATCTTCAAACAGTTAAGTGTAATAGGTTGACCATTCTGAAATTGATTTCTTCAATTTTCAATGAATCAATCAATCAAATCAATACCAACATAGAACCAGGCATTACTGTGTAACGGTTCGAGTTGCCACACCTCATCTCATATCACTACATCAAGTAGAAAGGTAGTGAGGTGAAGAATGAAGTATAAGAAAAAGCAGTCAGAAGATCAATATTGAGTAGGAGAAGAAAGAAAAGGGGAGTGAGAAAATGGTGAGATTCGGTATAGTGTAGTTAAGATGAGGATAATTTGTGTGGGAATACATCTGCGCCACTCACATCGCTTCTCAGCCATGCCATCACCTAGAGTCAGTCTCCAACCACTGGTTCCTCTTGTCCCGCTGACTCCAACCACCTAGTCGGCATTCCCCCCTCCCACCACATCACTTAAACCAACAGTCACAGACTTCATACATTGATGCTGTGTTTTAGTCTGGCCACCTCGGGCCATTCACCAGCCTGGACCTACTTCGGCCAACATTGTGTGACGAGACAATCAGTGACTAGGCATACGTAACACATGTGGGCGCCAACCATGTCAGTCGATGAAGGTTTATAACCTCGTCAACTGATTTACCTCTTCTCCCTAAAACTCTATACCTGACTTCTGCGTTACTCACGTGTTGACACCACGGAATGTTCAATGACTGACTGATAAAATCAAAGTACAACCTCGCACACACGTGCATCAGCTTAACTTACCACAATTCACAATAGTCTAGAAATAAAAGTTGGATAGATAAGAAGTAGATAAACTAGTGTGAGAGAGTGAACAATCTAAAGATGAAGGTTAGGGTGAATATTCAAGCTTTTGAAGCTGTCAGAGTGAATACATCTGTGCCATTCTGACTGATTTTCAGCTATGTCACTAAGAATCCTCAACAACTGTTTCTTATCATCTCGGGTAAAAAGCATGTAAGCCGAACATACTCAGTCGCTGACTACAACACTGGGTAACGCGGGTTCAAATCTCAAGCGCGATATCAGTTCCATCGAGGCCACACATACGCCTTGTTGACGAGTGCCAACAAGCACGAAACCTATGTCTAGAACTTCCTGCCGATTGTCTCCAACCAACTAATATACTTAAATTTCTTCTCAACAGCGTGCACTTATAAATTCTAATACAACTTATGATCTATCAGTGACTGAAACAGAGTCATTGAACTTCAAAAAGTTAGAGATAACATCGCAAAAGATAATAGGTTCGAAAGATTTGAACAAGAGAAATACTATTCATCTGTGGGTTAGTGAATGGAAGCATCAGTCAGATCCGACTCAACCGTTATGAGTTTAGTTGTTTAAGTTCATCGTAGACGTACTAATGGACATGACCTTAGGCACTTCTGACTTCATAGAGGTCATCTAGTTGACTTGTTGTATGCGAATGGTGTTGTTTCGTTGGGTGGAAACGCTGACAAAATACAGGGTCTTGTGAACGTGTTGAGCAGAAATCTGTGTATGTTTAACATGCATTTCATAATTGACAAATGTAAGATGATTCTTCAGGACTCATCTGCAACTACTTCAATTTTAAGAATAGGGAGTTAAGTGGTGGAATATGTCGACCATTTCACATTCTTGGGCAGTCACATCGGCCCGAATAGGCTGGCTGCTGACGAAATCTCAACTCGAATACACTAGGGGCCGTCTGACATTTGCAAACTTGCGTCATCTGTGGCCCCACCAGGCGAGATATCCAACCATCTACCAAAGACGAGTATACTGGGCTGTAGTTCGTTCTGTCATGTTGTAGGGCTGTGAGACATGATTGTTAACAGTAGAAGGCATGAAGCTATTACTGGGTTTTGATAACAGATGTCTTCGTAGCATTGCTCGCGCTTGGTGGAATCAAAATGTGAGTAATGTGGAGTTTAGAAGGAGCATACTAGGCAAGACAGGTAAGTCGCTGGATAAAGTTGTGAACGTCAGTCGACTGGTATGACTTAGACATGCACTGCGCATGCCGAGCCACTAGCTACCTTAACGTGCCATGCTACGGGAAGCTGGGCCAGGTTGGGAGAGGGTTCCGGGTGGGTGGACCAAAACCTGGAACCAGTCAATGAAGTCTCTTAATGTTGGTCAGAATCGTGTGGGGAGATGTATACCGCCTGGTTGGGGTCCGCGAAACGATAGGAATCAGTGACATAGCTGAAAACCAGTCAGAATGGCACAGATATATTCACTCTTTGACATCTTAGAAAGCTTGAATATTCACTCTAACTTTTGTCTTCAGATTATTTACTCTCTACAACTGGTTTTTCTACTTTGATATCACTTCTTTTCTATCCAACTGTTCTTTGTGTACTTCTGTGATGTGTGGCAACTTGAACCGAGCCAGTTAGTCAGTCAGTCACTCATTACAACATGATAGTTGATATACTGCAGACATACAAATATGAACGACAAGTCGTACATTAGAATGAAACAAAAAATAAGTCCAAGTAAGTAATAATTGAAAAACACAAGCATTATTCATCATCTTCTACATACAAATCACTTAAGTTAGTTAGGTGTGAGTGAAGGCGACGAATTAAGAAAGCTGAATGCAATGTTGTGGTATAATCTCTTCAGTGTAAAGAGATGAAGATTTTCGACTAAGCAATACTCCAAAGCAAAATTTTACATTATATCTAATAAAAACTTGTTCATTAGTAAACACTCCTTTAGAAAACATTTAGGTAAGACATTGTTACTAGTAGAAATCAGTTTTCAGTCTACCTATGCTGATCAATTGTTCGATGCTAACTATTACAGTATCCAAGTTTTATGCCTCAACTTATTTTCAAACCTGTACATTTGTGAATCTATAACTCATAGGATAGAAAGTAATGGAAATCTACCGTAAAAGTCGATAGAATAGTGAAAGTAGGTTTAGCAAAGGAATGTAGAAGTCTTACGTAGCATAGTTGAGATTGGAATTTGGTTCGGTCAGATTCTGTAATCAACCGAGTACACTGGCTATACCATGTACCCACTTACTAAAGGCATTAGTCAACCATATCTAAAGCTCTATCGCCACACATTAAGTGATTTCAGGACATTTAACACCGGTCAAAATGACTATCAAGATACCTTACAGAGTCTGACCGAATTGTTCAGAGGCATAGAGGTTAGACATTTATATGCTATCAAAGCATTAGTGACCCACAAATTCAGGTTTCAACTATGCATTCAAAAGAAATGAGAGCAGTCACTTTCCTTACTATAATGATGCGTTGTAATTTCTTTGTTTTTACTTGTCTTGTGGTTTTTCAGAAGGAAAAATACAAAAACGTGTCATAAACAATCTTCCTGATTTCCTTTCCTACTTTTCGACTTTCACTCCGCCAACCTTATGGGAATTTCCACGACTTATCCACATCACGTAATACTGCTACACTTGTTTGTTGGACGTACTTTCATTATTCTATCGACTTTGACAGTAGATTTCAATTACTTCCTATCCTTTGAATTATAGATTTACACATATATAGCTTTGAAAATGGAGATGGATTGGGCATACACTGAGAAGGCCGACTGAGGACATCACGAGCCAGGCCAGGCCCTAGAGTGGAATCCAGATGGGAAGTGACGAGTTAGGCGTCCGAGGCGAGGGTGACATGGAGTAGATGGTGTGAGGAAGAAATGAGAGGTTGTGGGCTGTCGTGGAGCCAGGTTCAAAAGATAGCAGAGAACAGAGTGGACTGGAGACGTGCTACTGAAGCCCTATGCTCCATTACGAACCCAAGGGACAAATTACATATATATATATATAATATGCTTGAATCTCTACGGGGAGATAAGTTTTAAAAAACATCTGACGAGTGCTGTGTTAGGACCAAGTAATTCATCTAACACTATCCATCAAGTACTCCCAATTTATCATCAAAAAGGTTGGAATACTTTTTCCTTGGATTCTAATGTACACTTTTCTTTTACACTTTCATACATGAATTATCATAATAAAACGATAAATGGGTTACCAAGTTAAACCAACTTTTTAAATGATTAAGTATAGTAAACATAAAAACAGGAGTCTATAGTCAGTAACAATTGTGAATTATGCATACAATAACCACAGATTGCATTCTCTGAAGAAAACGTTTATCCAATGCTTTCAATGGGTTTATAGTTATGTGTCGTCTTGAACAAGGAACTTAAGGCATCTCTGTTTATGTTTAAGACGTAGAAATTCACTCAACAACCACAAGCACGAGGTAGTGAGTCACACCTGATGTATAAAGGTTATTGATACTGTCTGGCTGTCGAAATCTCGGTAGGTGTAGCGTAGCTTTGAACCCACAACTATTGATGATCACTCACATAAAAGTAAAATGGGAAAAACCTCAAAAATTATCAAGTACGAACTGATGCATAATGTCACTGACTGCTAGTATGAACCTACTGGAAAGAACAGTGTACTTCTCGTTATAACTCCATAGATCCTAGATAGAAATCATTGATTTACATCAAAATTAACGTTACTGATCCAAACGCGTTATGAAATATTTCATTCAACGTCTTACAAAACACAAGGAAGTTTATATAAGGAACTAAGATATAATTAGTGGTTTGAAAGTGTATTATTGGATGTGAGCTAGAAAAATGTAACTCAAAACTAAATGTTTCTGAGTAAAAATGAATACATTATTATCCTCTGTGTAAGAATAATGCCTCAGGAACATGAAAAAGATACCATATGCTACATATACATTTCAAAAAAGACAACAGTATTTACGTTGTCAAATATAACAAGATATACCTTGTTCCTTTATATGATTTTTAATAATTGAAAACCAAGCAAGAACTTCTTTCTCATCATATTCAAATATTCCACTTGAATCGTCTAACTGCATAGGATCATTTCCAAATACTTTTGTTACTGTGAATTCGAATACTTCATTGACAGGATCATGTACTAACTCCGCCGAATGGTGTTCATGTGACACAATATTTCCATTTAAAGGACATGTAGCAATGCGGAATGTAAGTAATTGAGATGAGTAAACTTGAGACTTATCAGAGTCTGTGTTATCATTTTTGACAGTATCACAAATCGGAATATGTGAACTACATTCAGAAGATTGCGATGACAAATACTGAAGTTTTCTAAGCTCGGTGAAGTCAAACGAGTTAGCAATGTCCACATTACAGGCAGATATTTCTTTAGATAATAGCCTACCAACAGGTTCAACAGAACGAGAAATTCGATTAGTTCTTTTCCTGGTATCAATAGGACTAAGGATACGTTTTCTGCAACGTTTCATTAATGGAGATAATGAACTTCTAGATAAAGATTCACCTTTATCTTCAATAGAAGGTAAACCATTCACCTTTGTAGTCGATCGAGTATACAACTGCTTGGACGAATTGTCTGACTGGAGTCCTAAAACAGACTTATCTTGTAATCCTTCAGAGTTTTCAATTTTCGTAGGATAATAAAGATTATCAACAGATTGGGAATTTAACAATCCCGTCTTACATGAAGAGAAAAAGGATTGTGTATAAAGGGGATCTTCAAAATGAAAACTATGAGACAAACATGATATATCAACTGTTGACAATGCTCGTTTTCTTTCAATAGGAGGAACATGTTTGATTTCTGGGTGATGAATTCCAAGATTGGACTGTGATCCGTTGTTAGGTGAAGGTATATAACATTTAGCCGATGTATTAGAGTCGGTTTGAGAGATATCTATTGCCTGACTACTTTTTCCACAGGTAGCAAGTTCAATTTGTCTCACAACAGGTTGAGGATCGAGAAAATTTGTTTTCTAATGATAAGAGAAAATATTGAAATTGTAATAAATTAGTCACACTCAAAAAGTTATTAAATGAAATATATAGGGGAAGCTTCAATAGGCTGTTTCGTAAATATTTACAGATGTCATAACCTATGTATATATATATATATATATATATATATATATATATCGACATTTCTTACTAGTTGCATTCTGGTAACTTGAACTAATTCGGGTGTATGAGCTCGACCGCAAACCAGTGAAACAACCACCTGGCGTTTAGGTCACTCTGAACTGACAGCCAAAATCTACAGATTAGCTTGAGCGGTACTAGAAGTAGAAGTATCTTTTCCCAGTTAGTAAGATATCTAAAATTCCAAAATAGTAGGCATCTTACCAACAGAAAATAACTGGAATTCGGTCAAATGCTAGCGATGAAATACTACTCACAATAAAAAAACACAATGTGTAACACCCGCGACCCCGCCAGGGATCGAACCCGCGACCTTCAGGTGCCGCGGCCAGCGCGTCATCATTGAGCCACTGGGTCAGAATCCAATGATCCACAACTCCCTCAAAATTCAACTGAACTGGTGCTCATTGGTGACTAGCTTTGAGAAGTATTCCCGAAGTTCTAATAAGAAGTCTTGACCGGTGGAGGCAAAGCCTGATGGTCATGAGGACAGTTACTCAACGATGACATTGGGTGGCGGTTGCGCTATATCATGAGCTAACAGAAGCTGGAAATATGGACTATTGGATTCTGACCTAGTGGCTCAACGGTAATGTGCTGGCCATGGAACCTGAAGGTTGCGGGTTCGATCCCTGGAGGGCGGGGTCGTGGGTGCGCACTGCTGAGGAGTCCCATACTAGTCGGACGAAACAGTTGTCCAGTGCTTCCAAGTTTCCTTTGTTCCTCCAACTGATGTCAGTCTACGATGAATAACAACTTGAAATAAATAATAATATATTATCAGTAAACTCATTAAGAACAAGAGTCCGGAATTACAGCATTCGATGAATTTATCAATCATATTTTGGCATGAATAATATTTGCATGAAATTTTTGTTTGAAGGAATACTCTGAAACTAGTGAGTATCTTATATGTATACAACATCGAAATAAAACACGACGGTCTACGGGATCAAAATGATAACGCTTTAAAATATAGAACACAAAAAGTAGTTATCAAGTAAAAAATGATCTTACTGGATGAATAGGTATCATCAGATCAGGGTGACGAAGATTACGCAACAATTGATCTCCATTTTTTTCAGAACTTGATGAGTTGTTACTTGAAAAATGATCGGAATCATCAGAAACGGAGATAATTCTTCTGGAATTAGCTGGGGTTGAAGATAACTCAGGATTGTTTAAGTGCTTTTTTTCACGACTTTTTTTTTTCGATGAAGATACTGTTTTGATAGTTGGATCATCACTTACTGGTATATCTTCAGGAGTTATACTCAGCCGATGAACATGAGGTTCCATTATATGATTTGTAGATTTCAACTTGTGAATTTCCTGTTTAGTTGGAAAACATAACATTGAGGTACACATCCGTGAAACTATAAATATTCAGTTAATATATTGGTGAACAAAATGCTAATTTAATGGAATTGTAAACAGTAAATTAAAAATGGCGGTTCAAAATAATTCCGTGTTTCACCAGGTTCGCTAAAGTGATGAAGTTTATCGCCAAGAGTCAAGAAGTAGCACATGAGAAAGTTCTTAAGCCTGATGCAATGATTACACATTACGGTAGGTGGTGGCTCAACATGCACAGTACACCTCCAAATAACCTCAGTCGACTGACGCTCACAACTTCATTAAACAACTTGTTTGTCTTGGCTATTACCCTTCGCCCAAATGCCACATTACTGACGCTTTGATTCCACCACACATGAGCAATGCAGTGAAGAAACCTTTAGTTAATTTATAGTCTCTTCCTATCTCCCATTTTCAACGGCCATATCACACCGCCACACCAGAGGACGAAACAGACTGCAACGCAGAATACTCATTCTTTGATAGGTAGTCAGATATCTAGTCAGTTCCACAGATGATACAAGTTGGCAAACCAAAACGAGCCTTCTGTAACCAAGCTGGGATTTCGTCAGTATCTAGCTGATGCAAGTCTTCAAGTAAGTGAAGTCGTCAACTCACTCGGCCACTTCAATCCCTATCTTTAAACCGAGGGAAGTTTCAGATCAGTCCTGAAGTATCATCTCACATTTGACAAGCGGAAGACGCATGCCGAATAGTCTGTATTTTGTCAGCATCTCCATCTAGCAGTGACAATCGGCATCCCTAACGGATATCACTAGCTGACGTCAATTCTGATGACTAGTCCAAACTCAAAAACTACACAATTATCAGTAAAATAGTTCCATAAGCAATGATATTGAAAGTACACGGTAAACAAAACTTAATATCAGTCGAAGAATGTATGGAAACAGACAAAGGATTTACAGCTTTTTGATTTGCACTATGCGTAAAAATGGTATATTGAGGTATTCAGAAAATTGAAAGAGCCTGATGTTTATTTTCCAAAGTTTCCATTTTAATCCAACCTCATTCAGATGGAAAGTGGAGTATAATTTATTTCAAAAAAGGTTATCTGTTAAATAAACACTGATACCTATTTAAGGAACACTTGGAGAATGAACTCATTACTCATTAAAATCAAACCATTTAATTTTATTAACAATGATACCAAGTGAACAACTGTTCAGTGTTTTAATTACTTATTTGGTATCCATGGCATACGTTATACGCATTCTGATAAAATATGCATCAAAATGAAATATGGTAAGCTTGCATATTTATGAGTTGATATTAATTTGGTAAATGCCTTCAACATATTAAAATGTTGAAGGAAACACTCAGTTTTACAGTATTTGAGAGATATAAACCCACTATTGACATTTACTAGGCGTTCGTTACATCCCAATATCGAATTTCCTACTGAATAATCTTTACAAAAGTAACCAACTTGTAATAGATAATACACCTATTGCCGAAGTTGAGTACCACTGAGCTGAAAATAAAACCTAATCCATTCGGTTTGCAGGAGAAAAAGAATTGGAACACTGAGAAAAATATATAAGGCCAAACCGACGATGAGAATAAGACGATCTTGTTCATGAATATCGAATTCGAATGGGATAATGCAGTGAAACCATTCAAGAAGCGACTTTATTCTACGCCGACAGTTCATTCACTGAGGTGTGAAAGATAAAGTGTCACTTTGAGCCACATACACATGGTTCTTGTGGACCTGGTTATGTAGGTCGCACAAAGCATAATCTTTTCAAACTCATCTTCGAGCACTATCTTACTTGATTGTCCAGAGAAAAATGGAAGTCAAAGAACAGTTCTATATCAGACTATTCTGTCAACTCTGGTCGTCACTTCCTCACAGTTTTCTTTCAAATCCCATACAAAGTCAAATCGAATGGCTGAAAAGGCGTAGGGATCCGTCACCTATGTATAGCAGTAGTGTTGAAAATCCAAAAATTAAAGCCTGAGCTCTGTCCATAGAAGAGGTACTTCCATACTTTTATTTCGTCGTGGTCATTATCTATCTTTGAGTTTCTTCACTGCTTCAATTTCCATCCCACTCTTATTGACTGTTTATTTTTACTGTCTTTAGTTTATGGCTTATTTTCCTACATCTTATCATGATAGTGGAGAACCACTGAAAACCTGGGAGCACTCAACAGCTTTTTCGTCATAGTATGCAATGCCTAAGAGGTACGAACACAGTTGGCAGGGATCCAACTCAGGACTTTCAAGTTTCCCGGGAAACGCGTTAACCATTCGATCGATGGGTCTGAGTTCCATGGTCCACAGTTTCCTACATCTGTCACATCGCGATATGGTGCGACTACCACCCAAGGTCTTCAGTTGGCAGCCACTTCACTAGTTGACTCCACAGGTTACACACCTCGGGGACTTCCATCTGGAAGCATGTCCCTAATGAGGACTATACAGTAATGCATTTTGATGTTAATGGGGATTTCATTTTTAAGGTAGAATTCATCACGGACTGAAATCAGTTATCACTGTTTTCTAACCTTTTAGTTATCACCATAATGGACAAAATTATTTCCCTATGCACCTATGATTATAAAATCAGTTTACAACTCAAGAAACGACTTGCTATTTCACCTTAGAACACTAGCCAATAATAGACGTATTAGTTTGCTTGTTATTAGTGGAAATACGATCGTACAGCTACTGGAAATGGTTCGTCAAAAAAAACTTCTTTGTAGAATTATTGTTCTTCTGAATGCTTTAGTAGGCTGTCTTTCTGATCGATGTGAGATAGATGCGGCCTAGAAAATTAATATTATTGGTACAGGTGGTGACTTAATGTAAAATAAAGCCTAAGTCCCAGCAGGATACAAACCAGTAAGAGTGTCAGTGATAAGGGACTCAAACCAGAAAATAGCTACTCCACCTTAAGACAAGTTGACATTCTTTGCAACAAAAAAGATTAGCAGTAGTATAAAGATATTAAAACAAGCAAGAGATAAACCACAGCAGAAATTCTGAAGGTGACAAAGGATGAGCAAACCGACAACAGTTTCAATGAGTTTAAACCAAAATCTAAAGCCATCTAGTCTCGTAGTATACATGCGTGGAACTAACAGTTAGTGACTGCATCGGTTAGCGCCTTATTTGACTACTCTTAGCTATTTTTCAAGACTAAAACTACTCCATACGGGTTTTAGGCTGTACCCAATCATATGAAAGATTTGAATAGCCACTAGTGGATAACGGGTTCAAAACTTGAGCCAACCAATGGGATTTCAAGCAGCGTCATTAGTTCTTAAACAATAACTATGGTTCACAGAATATTTTATGAACCTGGGTTATACATTCCATTTTCGCGCATCAAAGTAGACAGTGGCTCGATGTGTGTAACGCATGTTTCAACCACTCTAGTAACTGTTCAACATCATTAATTGATTTATATTCCTTCGATAGAAGAGCCTTGAAAGCTGTTAGAAGTATGAGTGTCATTATCATCATAGAAAGTGACTTACTCTTGAAGTATCTAGAAGCGAAAATGAGCTAGGCTTTTACGACTACACAGCCAAAGTAAAGTATCTTTGAAATTCATCTTTAGAGGAGTGTTGCTATTCGTATGTTCTTTAAAGAATCTCATTACTGATAGAAATAGGCGTTAGAACAAAGTATTATTTACAGTTTCCAGAGCCTTTCTATGATATAAAAAAAAAAATCCTTCCTTTGAGAAGAAAGTACACTTGAAATACCAATGATCCGAGGAATAAATTTGGTTAGTAGTACATGACTTCATCCTGAGGCCCCCATTAACAAAGGCTTATAGTTAAGGGTGGTTAATAATAGTAATAATAATAATAATAGTAATAATAATAATAATACATTTGTACATATTTAAATAAAATTAGGATTTGATGTTTTGAAAATATTAGACACAGGGTAAATGACATTCATTACTTTGATATCTTTATTTCTAATTTCTCGCCAGGAAATACAAATATCAAAATAGTGAACAATATTTAAAAACTTACATGATCCAATGATGAAAATCCATATGAACTTTTTATACTACAACTAGTACTCATCAATGTGGCAAAAATGAAACGATCTTGAAGTTCACAGTAATAAAGCATCATAGGTGATTGAATAGGTGAAGGAGTTAATTTCTAAAAAATAAATCCAAGAAAAAGTTTTTGGTAAATCATCTGCTACCACTTTATTATGCATAAGAATTATTCATAATGTAATAAAGGTACATTCTATAGTGATGATGGAGAGTAGCTAGCAGTGGAATCTAGGAGAAGTGTTTCATCCTATTTGGGACTCACCAGCTGGATGTACCTGTCTGCTAGTGAGAGATGTTCTCCTCACTAAGACTCAGTACTCAGGACCGACCGCTCCAAACGCAAAAGTGTTATCCACTAAACCGACGAGCCACGATAGCCACTTCTTGTGCGACCGGTATAGTCTTTTTTAAATGTTGTTGTTTGTGTTATATTGTCGTTGATTGGACCAAACTGATCGGTTTCTACTGGCATATAGGCTCATGTGCGCATGTCTCAACAATAGATGCTGTTCTAATTTATAATAATGATTATAATAAAGACGACAACTCGCTATAGGCCCTAACACGGCTCTCAGAGTTCCAGTACAGAGCTTTGATTAGCGTTATATGCTAGCTCGGTATCCCCTCCATAGTCAGACACTGGGATAAAAACTCACAGTAGACACAGTTGAATCCCTCCCATCCAGGTCAAGAAACATGACAAATGTCAAGTAAGTATTCCTGAGTTTTAGAACCTGTCGGAGGGTGAAAGTAAGATCGTCCAGGTCTACGGCATCGATAGAATTCCCGAGCTCTAGTTAGACGGCGTATAACTATGATTCGTAGGATCTTCGATAGGATGTTAATCAAAACCCCGCCCCCTCCCATGACTGTCACAAGAAAACCAATGTCCTTTTCGATAAACTAGAATGATCAGAGAAGTAGACCAGTCTAACGGGACTACCTCTGATTCCCATAAGCTAATGCACTTGGTAACCAAATGCTAGTTTGTGTAGTAGGCAATGAAGGGTTGGTGATACCAATTGGTTGCTCAGACCTTGATAGATTAAGTGGAACTTGTACTCGCGAAAAGGTATCACTTCAATACCTGTGCCACTATAATCAGTAATATACCATCTCCATCCTTAAAAAATGCAGGTGGCAAACCATTAGGTCCTGTTGCTTTGCACCATCCCAGTTTAAATAAACTTTTCAACTTCGAGGAGAGTTGGGGGATCAACATCTACGTTCCATTCAAGTTCAGGCTAGATAACTGAAGAGTTGCTAGAGGTCAAATGAATTGTTCTTTAAAGTTTTCTCTCAAAACGTCCTAGCCTCATGTCTTGAGAGGTTATCAAAGTCCATTCTTTTCGGTGATAATCTCACTTAATCTCGTCTTCTTCTTGTCAGTTCCCTGGTAAGCCTAAATAATTGTCAAGTATTATGCAATACTGATGCCTTCTCTATCTTTATCTCTGTCGTTTTTGCTACCTACCACTGCTTTGGATCATTGAAAAGGAAGACTAGAAAATCATGAAGGTAGAACTCCTTGATATAGTCTTCTTTGTCCATGACTATTGTAGTGCGTCCTTTGTCTTCTGGAAGTATAATGATATCTTTCCTATTTTTCAGTCTTTTTAATATTTTCTGTTCTTGAGTGTTCATTTGAGCATAATGTCTCCTCTGCCTAGTTAGTGGTACGATTGTTTGCCGTATTTCTTGTTGAATGACCTCATTTAAGTGACGATTCTAATGCCGTAAAGAATTCTGATTTCATGGCATCTCTTGTGTTGTAATTCAATCCTTTTTGAAGGAGAAATTCTTCCATTTTCCTTAATGACTGTTTTGATAAGTTGGTAAAGCAGTCGTTGATTTCTTCGGTTGTAGATGTTTCTGAAATTTTGAGTAGCTTTTTCCTGAGGACTTTTCTTCCTTGTTCTTTGTTGCGTCATGAGTATGCTTTCTAGTTTTCTCAAAAGAGAAAAGGTAGAACTCCGCTTAACAATGACGTTCTTCACATTTGATGGGAAGTTGTATCAACAAAAAGAAGGTGTACCAATGGGATTATCTATCTCAATAATAATAGCGGATACATTTATGGATATTTAAACAAAAAATACTCTAAAACCATACACATCTTCGATTAAAATTTGGTAAAGATGTATTGATAATATTTTCTAGTCATAATGAGTAAGAAGGATGCTGTAGGATTCCACTCACATAAACAGTCAAGTAGACTCAATAAAATTCACTATGGAAATAAAGAATGAATTGAAGAGAACTGCCAATGCTGGAGTGTAAAATCAAAAGAACAGTGAAAGGTACTTTAAAAACAACACTATATAGAAAACAAAAGCATTCTAAGTTTCTCAGTTATCATTCAGTCAACCCAACCACAGTAAAATGAGGGTTGATACAGTGTCTAGCAAACAGAATAAGTAGACTAGCATGCTCTGAAAACCAACGTAAAAAAATGAATATCTTATTCAGGATGTTATTAAAGAATCAATAACCAGAGCAATTCAGAGATAGCATGAAAATGAAGCAACAAAAGTCAACATAAGGAGTTATTAGGAAGATTTACACAAGAAGTCAGTGGTATTACTATACGAAAAAGGTACAGCAATTAGAAAAAAACAAGTAAATTGAACCAAATAAAAGTTCCAATTAAAAAATTGAACAAGAACAATATGGTGTATTAAAATACCGTGTGTAGACTGCCCAATAAGCTAAGTAGGACAAACATCGAGATCGTTGAAAATCAGACTGTATGAACATCAAAAACTAACCAAAAGTCAATGATGGATCGTGGCTAGCAGTGGGATTCAGGATGCGTATTTCCTCCTATTTAGGACCCCTCAGCTGAGTGTACCTGCATCCCAAAGAGTGTTGTTCCCACCGGGATTCGGACTCGGGAGCAATCGCTTCAAATGCCAGCGCATTATCCACTATCGGTGGTGTAGTGGATAACGCGTTGGCGTTTGAAGCGATCGCTCCCGAGTCCGAATCCCGGTGGGAACAACACTCTTTGGGATGCAGGTACACTCAGCTGAGGGGTCCTAAATAGGAGGAAATACGCATCCTGAATTCCACTGCTAGCCACGATCTGTCATTAACATAATTAGAACACTGAGAATATCGAGGCATCCACACAGGAACCCATAAGCCAATACAGACCGATCAATTCAGTCCAATCAACGACGGTACCATATAAAAACAATTATACTAACCAAAGGTCAGCCCTACAAAGGGACAAAATAACGAGAAAAAAACTTGGAAAAACATTCATCGATAGCAGCTTATGAATAGGATGATAAATATAACATCGATATTGGAAGAACACTAGTAAACTACAAAAATAAATGGAAAGAAAGGTTAATAACAGAATCCATATTTATATATATGTCACCCCTAACACATGCAACAAAGGTGAATCTCAATACAACTGTCAACCGTATTGCACAAACAAAGTAGTGAACAATGAGTAAAGACTACGGGTAAATATGTGAATAAATATTGCTAAAATACTTCAACTAACCTCGCCTGGTTAACTAGTTCACTCAACAACTATATGAAGATGCCACATGCCAGCCAAGTAATTCACAATGGGAAGCTCAGTGATGCTTTTGAAGTGAAGACTGGAGTGAAACAAGGTTGCCTACTATCCCCCATGATATTCCTGATTGTGGTCGACTGGATCATGCAGCAAACGGTGGGGAGCTGTGAGAAGAAGGGGATACGCTGGCTGGACTGCGGAAAAGAACCTAGAACATCTGGATTTCGCCTATAACTTGTGTCCGATGTCACACAAACTTGAAGATCTACAGGCGAAAACTAATAAGTTGACAGAAGAGGCAGCGAAGACAGGACATCCTTCACGTGAATATAGAGAAGACAGAAGTGATGAACATACCGCACCACCACCATCAACAACAACAACAAACTCCAATCACCGTCAACGGGAGAAACTTAAAGGAAGTAACCTCCTTCACCTATCTAGGAAGCACTGTTTCAACTACAGGCAGCACAGGCACAGACGACGATGTCAAAGTCAGAATCGGAAAAGCAAGACAAGCGTTCATTAGCCTGAAACCAGTGTGGAGATCTTCTGCACTCAGCATGTGGAACAAGATCCAGATTTTCAACACCAACACCAGTCAAGTCAGTGCTCCTGTATGGTTCAGAGACTTGGCGCGTCACGAAAGGCATTTCCAAAAAACTACAGACATTCATCAACAACTGCTTACGCTGGCTCGCTACTGAAGATCAGATGGATTGCCAGAATAGTTAGAATAAGCAACAAGGAGCTCTGGGAACGAACCAACCAAGAACCTGTCACGCAACAAATATGCAGGAGGAAATGGAGATGGATTGGGCATGCACTGAGAAGGCCAACTGGGGACATCACGTGTCAGGCCAGGTACTCGAGTAGAATCCCCAGGGGAAGCGACGAGTTGGACGTCCGAGTGTGACATGGAGGAGATCGTGCGAGGAGGAAATGAGAGCTTCTGGGCTGTCATGGAACCAGGTTCAAAAGATCTCAGAGAACAGAGGTCACTGGAGACGTGCTGCTGAAGCCCTATGTTCCATTAGGAACCCAAGGGACTAATAATAATAATAATAATAATAATAATAATAATAAAATACTTCAACTATTGGTATGATCAACGGGTAGTAAATTTTACTTGAAATATCACCAAAACAATAAACTGATAATTGGCATTAAAAATTTACTTATAAACCAAAATGAATACAGGGAAAAATGAATAAGTAGTGAAGTCTTGGAGAAGTAAATTTACAGAAAACTAAACTTACACGAATCCATATGTAACCTGACTTCAAAGGAAGTTTAGTTGAATGAGGCTGAGCAATTAATCGATAACAAATATTGCCAAATAATGGTAGATCGCATACTTCAGACATTTCATTCAATTGGTCATTAAACAGATGATTCTTTTGACTTGTTGTATTACTAGGCAGCATTGATGACAAATTTTTAGACTCAGGTGGATACAATAGTTGACCACCCACTTCCAATGCATGTGAAGAGACTTTATTGTTTACATCTTTTATGTTCGCCACACACCGTCCAATCAAATCGAAATAATGAGATCTATATCATATTATAAGATGAGAATTAATAGTTTTAGCATAGAACAGAAATTAAGGAAATGGAATAATTTTATACCCTCCCTCCTCCTCCAACACTTCATTCATACTAAGCAGGCAAATATCTGCGCGCACTATGAACAGGGCAGAAATATATAGTAGAAGTACTACGGAATTCCCTCAGTTATAAATCTTGGTAATCGATAAACAAAAATAACGAAAATATTGAAAAGCCAGTAACCATGTATGAGAACGGTGGTACCCTAGTGATGAATATGTCTAATATTAGTTATCAGTTTGACTATATAAGATAGCCGTAGTAAGGCAGACTCGTTTTGAAACTAAATGATGATTGAAGGTGAAATGAAAATCAGGCGTTCATTAACCTGAAACCCGTGTGGAGATCTACTGCATTCAGCATAAAGCGTGAACAACATCCAGATTTTCAACACTAATTCAGTCAAATAAGTCAGTGCTTCTATATCGTTCACAAACTTAGCGCGTCATGAAAAGCATTTCCAACAAACTACAGACATTCACCAACAGCTGCCACCTAGCCTCACTAGATACTGAACATCGATCAGATAGCCAGAATAATAAGAATAAGCAACAATGAACTCTGGCTGGCTGGCAAAGAACCAACGAAGCAAGAACCCATCGCTCAACAAATATGCAGAAGATAGTGGAGATGGATTGGACATACATTGAGAAGACCATTCGGGGACATCACTCGCCACGCCAGCCCGTCGAATCCAAGGGGAAACGACGAGTTGACTGTCCGAGGCGATGGTGATATGGTGTGAAGCAGAAATGGAAGGTTGTGGGTAGTCGTGAATTCAGGTTCAAAAGACTGCAGAGAAGAGAGTGAATGGGAGACGTGCTACTAAAGTCCTATGTTCCACTAGTAACCCAAGGAACAATTAATACTAATAATAATTATGTAGTATAATCCATAGTCTTAGGTTGACTGATGATATTTCATTCACCAAATGTCTACGAGCATTACGTAATATAAATACGCCATTAGTTACTATAGTGTCACAAGAGTACATCCTCAGTTAGGTTTATTCCACCCCCCCCCCCTAACTACCTTCTATTCATTTTCTAGTGAATAGTTCTTTTCACTTCTCATAAGACATAACTATAATTTAGAAAGGAATATAAGCTAACATAAATATGAAGAGTGATACAGATATTAATTAAAACGCTCAAATATTCGGTAATAACCTTAATGCATGAATATGTCATCGTGAGTGAACAATATACTAATACTGTCTTAATTATCAACCTTCTTAGAAGTTGTGTGCTAGACATTTAAATTTATTAATCAAGGAGAAAAAGATGTCTAGATCGGTTTTCACGCTGCGCCAGGTCCTGGAACATAGGCATGCTTACAGACGCCCGACAACAGCTGTATTTCTCGACCTGAAGGCAGCATTTGACTCCGTTGATCGAGGAGTCTTATGGCAATGTTTCCCACTTGAAGGCGTGCCTAGTAAGTACATCACCTTATTGAAAGCTCTCTACTCGAACACCTGTGGGTATGTTAGAGCCTATGGCGAGTTGTCCAGGGAGCTATACTCATCAAGTGGTGTCCGTCAAAGATGCCCACTATCTCCATTCTTCTTTTTATCATAGATATTCTTATGGAGGTTTCCCTCTCGTCACCTAACTACACAGACGTCGACCCAATCACAGGTGAATCTTCTTTAGATCTAGAATATGCAGATGACATAGTCCTGTTAGGTGAAGACGCTGACAAGATGCAGAGTCTTCTGAACACTTTGAGTGGGAATTTGAGAATGTTTGGGATGCGATTTTCAACACCCAAATGCAAATTTTTGCTCCAGAACAGGTATTAAGCGGTACTGCGGCTAACAACAGAGAGTGAAGTGGTTGAGTGTGTTGACCACTTCACTTACTCGGGAAGTAGGATCAACCCTGGTGGGTTAGTTGCCGATGACATCTCTGCACGGATACAAAAGGCTCGATTGGCTTTTGCCAATTTACGACACCTGTGGCGCCACCGTGATATCCGTTTGGCTACTAAGGGTCGCATGTACTACACAGTAGTCCGCTCTCTTCTATTGTATGCCTGTGAAACAGCCATTGAAAGTGAAAGATATAAGAGGGCTTCAGGTGTTTGACCACCTTTGCCTTCGTAGTATACACCGCCGAATTCCATGGTGTCTCCACTTGAGTAATGCAGAAGTCAGGAGTAGAGTTTTAGGGAGAAGAGGTAAATCAGTTGACGAAGTTATGAACCTTCATCGACTGACATGGTTGGTGCCCACATGTGTTACGCGTGCCTAGTCACCGATTGTCTCGTCACACAATGTTGGCCGAAGTAGGTTCAGGCTGGAAAAAGACCCGAGGTGGCCAGACTGAAACACAGCATCAATGTATGAAGTCTCTGACTGTTGGTTTAAGCGATGTGGGGGGGGGTGCAGAATAGGTGGTTGGGGTCCACGGGATAAGAGGGACCAGTGGTTGGAGACTGACTCTAGGTGATGGCATGGCTGAGAAGCTATGTGAGTGGCGCAGATGTATTCCCACACACATCATCATCTTAACTACACCATACCGAATCTCACCATTTTGTCACTCCTCTTTCCTTTCTTCTCGTACTTTATATTTCTTTTGACTGCATTCACTTATCTTCATCTTTCACCTCACTACCTTTCTACTTGATGAACTGACGTGAGGTGTGGCAACTGGGACCGTTACGCAGTGATGCCTGGTCCTATGTTGATAATGATTGATTGATTGATTGAGATCGGTTTTCAAGAGCTAGCTGAATGTGTAAACTCTTCACTTGCGGTAGACATAAGACGCACACGACTACAGAGGCAAGAAATATGAATAATAATCAGATGAGATTAAAAATCCTTCTTTACTAATTAAAATGAACAAAATTCACTATATCAACTCATTTATTGAACTAGTAAATTAAAAAAGAAATATTCCTACGAAGCAGTATAGGTTTGTTATCAAACTGAATCGTCAACAATTGAAACTCATGAAGCATCCATTTATGTCAGTAAGTTTTCAATAAAATTAGAAAAACTATAAGGTCTGCTATTGCGTTTATTATGATTGTTTAGATAATACAGAGAAGCTCAGCATCATTGAAACCTTTCACAACCAATCATCATACTCTGAAGTTTTCGGAAAAGACACGTGATCATAACTGTAGACATCAAAGTTGATGAAGGGATAAAATCAATAGGACATGTGTTTCTGGAAAAGCCTGAAACAGTTAACGTCAACGTAAATATATATATATATATATATATATATATATATATATTGTCGTTATATTTTGTGCATACTCAGACGTTGCAATACACTTCCGTGTTGTCTTACCGGCTTTTCTACTTAACAAGGAATTCAGAGACCATCAAGGGTAGAAAGTTATTGTTCAAGTCTCCACATGTGGATAATCAAGTTATATGAAGAATTGATCACTTTATTTATTATCCCAATAATACATAATGGAGATGTAGGTTATTGGCTTCAGAACTAAACTTTCATACAATATATCCTAAGTTGAAACCTAACTCCACCTACAGTAATTGAGTACTCATGCTTCAACGAGTTTTCGAATAAAATAAATAGCTATAATAATAATAATAATAATAATAATATGTTACTAACAAAGAATAAAACTTACGAATTCTGACTGATCAATGAATCTACGTCGTACTAGAGAAAAAAAAGAGAATGAGAGAATTTTTCACGATTGTAAACTATTATGTAGAACTTTATATTACTACTGAACAACTGGATGTTTGTCAGTTTGACTACCTTTATCTAGTTACGTTAAATTAATTTTACTTTTGTTCTATCAAAAGATTCAATCGTATGGAAAGTGGAAATACTCAAGAAAATAGTTTATTTCTCGTAGTCTATATAAGTTAGTTGCTTTATAAAATGACCTACATTTTGATCAAAAATCCAAAAACAGACTGCTTATCTACGGCTTTACAACAAAACTGTATCAATAAATCAATCAATGAATATCAACACAAGGACCAGGCATCACTGCGTAACGGTCCCAGTTGCCACACCTCACGTCAGTTCATCAAGTAGAAAGGTAGTGAGGTGAAAGATGAAGATAAGTGAATGCGGTCAAAAGAAATATTAACTACGAGAAGAAAGAAAGAGGAGTGACAAAATAGTGGGATTCGGTATAGTGTAGTTAAGATGATGATAATGTGTGGGAATACATCTACGCCACTCACATCGCTTCTCAGCCATGCCTTCACCTAGAGTCAGTCTCCAACCACTGGTTCCTCTTATCCCGTGGACCCCAACCACCTAGTCTGCATCCCCCCCCCCACATCGCTTAAACCAACAGTCAGAGACTTCATACATTGATGCTGTGTTTTAGTCTGGCCACCTCGGGTCTTTTTCCAGCCTGAACCTACTTCGGCCAACATTGTGTGACGAGGCAATCGATGACTAGGCATACGTAACACATGTGGGCACCAACCATGTCAGTCGATGAAGGTTCATAACTTCGTCAACTGATTTACCTCTTCTCCCTAAAACTCTACTCCTGACTTCTGCATTACTCAAGTGGTGACACCATGGAATTCGGCGGTGTATACTACGAAGGCAAAGGTGGTCAAACACCTGAAGCCTTCTTATATCTTCCACTTTCAATGGCTATGTTTCACAGGCATACAATAGAAGAGAGCGGACTACTGTGTAGTACATGCGACCCTTAGTAACCAAACGGATATCACGGTGGCGCCACAGGTGTCGTAAATTGGCAAAAGCCAATTGAGCCTTTTGTATCCGTTCTTGGTGAGAGTTGATTGGTGTGAAGGTTACTTCTGTAACTTTAGGAACAAAAGTACGTTCTCTCAATTTCACCAAAAAGTTTCACAAACAAAGAAACTGTGCATATTAATACTTTAAACTTAGCATATATATTCTCACCGTGTTAAATTACAAGAACAAGACGAATATCAAACTGCGTACATTTCGTGTCTTCAGAGCGTTGAAACTTGCTCTTCCCTTTGTCACGAAGAAAGATATCTTCATTAGTCTTCCTTATAAGGGTAACTCTTATAGCGCAGTACTTAAGCAGACGCTTAACACTGTTATTAGAAGGACTTTTTGAACAGTCAGGTTTCAACTAATATAAACCATCAGGCCTGTATATTCTCCCAAACTCTTATAGAATATGAACAACAATATCACATCCCATTGCATTTACCAACTCAAATGTACGTATGATGACACATTTATTGAGAGGACTCCAAGTAAGGGCAAGTAAGGGTCACAAAGCATATTCCAAAGTGGCTTCAGAAGCAAGTCAAACTACTTGAACTCATAAACGTTTGTAGTAGACGCCAAAGTTCTTCGATCACAAAATGTATCGTTGAAACGGATCACATGATTGACGTTGCTACTTCCTTTGAGACCTATTTAAAAAACGTGTCAGGGACGAAATCTTAACTACTAAAGAAGTTTAAACCATTTTAGTGTGTTTATAAACAATTTTTGATCACATTAAATCTCCTTTGGTGAAACCAAGTTCGATGTACTGTAATTTCCATTCTATTGACTTTCATTATTATTTGGCCTTTGATACAACCTTCCTAATTGGTCGCTTTTCATACTCTCTCCCCTTATCTTTATGAATTTTCATATGAATACCTATTATAAGTAAGTGTCTGATTAGATTGTTCGAAATGTTTCGCACAAATACATTACATCTTATTATTTTGTAGAAGATAAGTTAACATTAAATATACAAAGTAACAAACACAAACTTACTTGATCGATAACTTTTTTCCCAATTTCATAAGCTGATGAAAATCGGCGTTTGGAGAATAGAGAATTGCTTTTACCATTTCCCTTAGGGAATGCGTAAATTTCAATGATACACTCAAATTCGGATGTTACATCATCACTTAATATTTCAAAAGAAAAAAAGTATATACAGTTAACTTGATTCGATTTCACTCTGATGAAGCAGTAATCAATAGGAAGTGATTCCCTTTTTCAGATAAATAATTTCTCTAGGGGTTTCTCACTGCAAACTATAGGGTAACAGTTTGATCAAAAATGCAATACATAATAAGTTATTAGTTGATGAATCTGTAAATCTTCTCTGTCTGAGGCAGCTTGAACACATGTTGCACCTTCCAAGTCAACGCTTACGTCGGCGTGAAAGGTAAGGTTTGGGTTGCACTAAAGCTCAGAGTGACCAGCCCAAGATGTGGCATCAGTCTACGTAGTAGTAAACTATCAGTTTGAATCATGTACGGAGGTGTCAACTGGCAAGCTAAGGTCCTCGAAAAGTTAGAAACCAATGCATGAGACCTCTTTGAAATGCCCCAAAATTAGCCATGATGGTGCAGATGTAAACACCTACAAGTTCTAAACATTATAAACATCTAGATCATAGTTGTCATAAATGTCCTGGAAGAAGTGAAGCGTCGAGTCTGGTTGAATCATTATAAGAATGTATTGTAAGATAATCCCAAGATATTTCTGAATGTTTCGCTGTGTAAACCACAGCTTACGTGAAAATGTCCTTGAACAACATTACTGATCAAGCGAATAAAGCAACGAGTACTACTACTAATAGTAATTAAGGTACAACACAATCACGGACGTCATCCATGACGTTACCATATCGGAAACGTACTTCTGAACACATTAAAAGAGTACACGCTCCACATAGTATTAAAGTTTGTTTTAAACTTGCAGATTCACCATTAAAGATCTTAGTGAAAGATAAAATTCTTAAGATGACACAGAACAACTGTGTCTACAAAATTACATGCTTGGAATATGAAGCTTCAATAACAATGACAACGATTGATGATTCATAAATAAAAATACAGGGAACAACACGTATTCTACAACATACATAAACACACACACACACACTTTGACTATTCTACATATTCGTTGATAAATGAGAATAGGAAGCGTAAAAGTCTAATGATTAATCTCATTTCCTCAGACTGGACAGGAAACCATCGAACCAATGACCTACATTGCGATAATTTACTTAGTTATGGCTAGCAGCTGATGAGTCCCAGCTACAGCGAAACGCATGTCGTGAATCCCTGTACTAGCGATAACTAAGTTAACTATCATAATAAATAATGAGACAATATCGAAGCATCGGCATAGGAACCCACATGTTAATAGAGACCGAATAATTCGAGAATTACAAGCATACTAACAAACATTAATTATTTCAAGTTGTTATTCATAGTAGACTGACATCAGTTGAAGGAACAAAAGAAACCTGGGAGGATTGTACAACTGTTTCGTCCTAGTATTGGACTCTTCAGCAGTGCGCACCCACGACCCCGCCAGGGATCGAATCCACGACCTTCAGGTTCCGCAGCCAGCACGTTACTATTGAGCCACTGGGTCAGAATCCAATGGTTCATATTTCCAACTTCTGTTAGCTCCACAACTCCCTCAAAAATAGTAATGACTTATATTCATTAAATATTTGATGTATCATTTAACTATATATTTTGATGTTAATGAAAATCTGTATATTCTGCTGAAGAAGTTGTGGTTTACATACCGAAACATTCAGAAATATGTTGTTTTGATTTTTTTTAAACACGCTGGGGTTATATCAAAATTCATTTTAATAATCATTTTCACTAACTATTATCTATCTATTCTCTCTCTCTCCTCGAATAAACTTTCGCTTACAATTTTTTATTCATCTTCCATTAATCTTTTCTTTGTATGCAGATGAGAAAATATGGTATGTGTGATGTGACATCCATCTGGAATTCTTGCGAAAAACTTGGAATTTAAACAGAATATGTAACGATGTAACAACAGAAATAACTACACTTCTCTTAAAGCATCCTTGATGATGAGCAAGGGATCAACGTGGAGAAGATCTACACGATGCGGCTAAGGATAATGCCGCCGTTAAAGGCATCCAGTCTTCGGCCACTATCGCCTTCGTAGCATACACCATGTGTCACGAAGTTATTAATGCAGAACTCAGGTGAGGAGCCCTAGAGAGAAGAAGAAACTCAGTTGATAGGATTGTGAATCGTCATTGACTCAGATGGCTCAGACATGTGTAACACATGTCTAGTCACCGTCTGCCTCGTCACACAATCTTAGCTGAAGTATGTTTAGGCTAGAAAAGGCTGGAAACAAACAGGTCAAAATACTGTATCACAATACAATCTTTCACTGCTGATCCGACCTGTGGAGGAAAATGTTGACTTCACTGTTGGGGTCCACGTGACAACAGAAACTATGGTTTGGTTCTAAGTAGTATGGCTCATAATCAATGTCAGTCATGCAGATATATCCACACACTATCTTCATCTTAATCGTCATCCTGAATTCAGTATTTTCTCATTCCTCCTTTCTCTCATTCACTACTTTCTACTGCTTCTGACCGATTCGTTTTCATCTTTTTATCTGACACTACAGTACTTTCCCTCTTGATGTCCTAATATGTGGTGTGATAACTAAGTTGTTATGCAGTAATGCCAAGTTCTATATTGATGCTGACTAACCTATGTCTCTTGACAACGTTTATTAAGAACTTGAACTTATTCTCCTGATATATGCAAATTTTAAGTGGTGAAATAGTTTGGCATTACACTAATCAGTGTATCTTTACAACCTGTTAACTGTTACTGCTGATGAAAACGAAAATTAACAGGTGAAAACAATCCACAGGTCAATCATTACACTCGAACTGAAGCATTCAAATTAAACAATTAATGAATCAACTACGTATTCAACTTACAAAATCCACTTATCATTGAATTCGATGTTTGCAGTACCAGGTTTGATGTCGAAGATGAGTCGACTGTCAAGAATTACATGACCGACTTGAATAGTACAAAACAAACTGTAACCATGAAACTGATCTTTACTATCTGATATATCAGTATTATCTCCTGATGCATTGACAACAGTAGGCAATAGACCACTAACAATGCTAGAGGACTGTGGAAACAATTGTTGCATTGCTAAATGTATATTAGTGCCTGGGGGTATGTTACGCCATAGCAAAGGTATGCGCACATCTGTAAACAGAAAAGTTACGTAGTATAATACAAAGATGATTAAAGTTAAACATCCTATCTCTCCAAATAGTTTTGTGTTAAATAGAAAGAGTCAACCGTATATAACAGTAATAATAATAAATTTTACTTCAAACAATTTTGATACATCTGGAATTCCCAGCATGAAAGCTTTGATCGAAATGATATTGATGAAAAATAGTTTTGTTAGGAACATGGAAGACGTCATAAAGTAGAAGCCATGCGTTTGAATCCAAATAGATAAAAAGCGCGCTATTTCCTACTGCGTCTTTATTTTCATTTAATGTCGAAAAACTAATGAGACCCAATCAGTCACTTTGTAGCATCCAATGAGTTACATTTATTGAGTGACAGCTAATGATAGTATGGGGCTGCCCGAACCTCGGTAGGTGGAGCTGATAGCCATCTGCCTAAATTACTAAACTATAACTTCACTCATTTAATGTCACAATCAATTGATTAAAATTCTCTTCAAACATCTGCTTACTAGTTCTTTAAAAGCAACCAATAGACTTTGTACAAGCCTATTATAAAACTATGCCGTCTCAAATTTAGAAGTACACGTATAGAAAATATTTTAAACACAAAAATCTCGACGAAAACACTGAACCATAAGGCTATTTAATTCAGGCAGGATATTAGAGACAGTAGAGTTTGTATGTCAACAAATATTGGAAGGACAAATTAATATCAGAATTTCAGTCCACATCATCAAGGATTTACTTCTTAGATGCATTATGAATGCACAGTTTGTCACAAATTATAGAAAGATTGATGAGATGGCTACCGCTCCACCACTTGGCTCAATCAATCAATCAATATCAACATAGAACCACGCATTACTGAGTAACGGTCCGAGTTACCACACCTCACGTCAGTTCATCAAGTAGAAAGGTAGTGAGGGGAAGGATGAAGATAAGTGAATGCAGTCAAAAGAAATATTAACTACGAGAAGAAAAGAAAGAGGAGTGACAGAATGGTGAGATTCGGCATAGTGTAGTTAAGATGAGGATAATGTGTATGGGAATACATCTACGCCACTCACATCACTTCTCAGCCATGCCATCACCTAGAGTCAGTCTCCAACCACTGGTTCCTCTTGTCCCGCTGACCCCAACCACCTAGTCTGCATCCCCCCCTCCCCCCACATCGCTTAAACCAACAGTCAGAGACTTCATACATTGGTGCCATGTTTTAGTCTAGCCACCTCGGGCCTTTTTCCAGCCTGAACCTACTTCGGCCAACATTGTGTGACGAGGTAATCCATGACTAGGCATACGTAACACATGTGGGCGCCAACCATGTCAGTCGATGAAGGTTCATAACGTCGTCAACTGACTCACCTCTTCACTTGGCGCAATTTAGGCTGATATATTACTCACCAAACTAGAGAAAGGAATATTGTAAAATACCATTAATGAAATAAATATGTATCACTGTTAATATTGACGGCAAATTTATTATTCTGGAGCGGGACGTGGAGAGAAATGAAGTGTTAAGGAAATTTAATGAAGTCCACCTTTCACCTATAAAGAAAAAATGCAAGTAAACTGAACTTTTTTGGATGTCTTGCTAAGCAGAAGAGAAAATGATTGACTCAGTAGATGTGTGTACAGGAAGACATATCTACGGATCAGCACATGCACATATACAAAGCGAACCTAGTTAAATGCTTCCTAATACAGCAAGAATATGTTCTGACTGATTACTACATAAGGAGTTAGAATAAATCCGAAACTTATTGATCGAAATAGATTATCCTAAAAGCTTCATCAAAAGGCACATGGACAAAGCGAGGGTAAATAAATCTGAATTTATTACTGTTCAAAAGAAATCATTGTTTCTGAAACTGTAATTCCAGAGAAGTTTACTATCAAAAGCCATTTAAAACCATTAAGAGGACTTTCTACACTGCTCAGAAAAAGGTAAGTCACCTAGTCTTGACATTACTATGTGTACTTCAAAATTATTTACATGCTCCTGTGGAGAAAACTATACAGGGCGTAACATCAGTCAACTTTGGATGAAGAAACATGCCCATTGAGTAATAAAAAAATGAAGATATAATTCAGCGAAAAAAAATTTTGTTTGTTTTTCGACGATACCATTTTCTAAAGCTGTACAATCGTCTTTATATACATCACAACTGTAAAACAGTCCATTACTGAACACAATACGGTATAATTGCACCATTAAGCTAATGCTGAAATCTGAAATCGACTTTTCGTTTGACTTTGAAAATCACACTGAAGGAGGAATCTGGTCGAGCTACATGTCCACAGCTGAATAAATGTTCAAGAATTGAAATATTAGTTGATTTACATTCTCTCTTCCACAACCATACACGATAGTGTTCAGAATTAAGTTTGGGAAGTGTGCGATTTATGCTGTTTATATAACTAGCTCTACAGGACCAAGTAAATTTGTCAACTCACATTGACGTGGCCAAAAACGACAACTTATCTTTAACATACCTCGGAACCACTTACTCTGTAGAGTAGCTGATATGTACTTTTACATCAAAAAAAGGCTTATTCAGTGATTTTGACAGCCAATTCTTCAAAATCTCCCCTGCCGTATCAACTTTGAAAACAACACTCATAAATGAAACAGTTTTTGCAGCTGTCAGTACTTACTTACTCCGTATTCTGTTTCAATTCCAAGTTCTCCTCAACACATCTGGATGGGTATCCATTTTGTATGAGAAATTTCTGTAGCTTTTCCAAGTGATTGTCGATAGTATCACTCGTTCAGATTCTTCTGATTTGTGATGAAAAATGATGTATCAGATTCCTTTCTCTGATGAGAGGTACTCAGCTGTGTTAATTCAAGTATTGTCCATTCCATGTTGGATTCTCATAAATCGATCCAAGAAAGGAGTCATCTGGTCTCCATTTCAACAAGATATCGCGAATATGAAACCCTGGGTTCTCTTCCAATTCTGATGTGAAGTTGACTGATGAGTGACAATCATATAACTTTTCAACTACGGTCCCATTATCTTTACTTTCATCACATATCATGAATGTAACATCCACATATTTTTTCTGTGGGTAAAAACTATCAATTGTTGTGTGGAATAGACTATTCTTTGGGTTTGTCATAAAAGGTGATCAGCCATCAGAGGTTTAAGTGGTGATCCCATCCTTTTTTCGGTGTAGCTAATTGTTAAATTTGAACTGTACATTGAAAGATCACTCTAGAAGTAATTGTTTGGGATATCCACGTGAAAATTATGATCTTTAGTGAAATCGCATAGGCAACAGACGTGTAGCTATATATCTACCTTCATAGTTGGGAAAGGGACACTAAAAATCCATAAAAGCTCTGTTTAATCTCTTCCGGTTGACAGAAGTCACTTAGTTAAAAAGAGGAACACTTTCAAGTTTATCTACGGTACACTAACTAATCTTTCGAAAGTTATTCGAACTCGTCTATTACATGTAGCAGAAGCTATGGGAATTTGAGCTAATAATTCCAGTCATTGTATCCAGAAGAAGTTTGCACATCTTTTATCTCTCCCTTGGTCAGCATTTTTATGCTGTCTTCTTGGTTCTTATCATCTGTATTACAACTGGTTGCGCACCCCTGAGTAGACGGTGGTTATTGGCAAAACATACTTGCTCGGCACCCCATCACTGTCAGACACTGACGAAACAACTCACAGTCGGCATAGTCGAATCCTACCTTCAGGTTATGAAATATGGCAAGTGTCGGTCACTGGTTGGCAAGTATCCCTGATGATGAACAAAGATCCGATCGATACACTCTCACTCAGGTCTGAAACTTGCCTGGTTTTTCCCAGTTTATAGTTCTTGAGCCCCAGTTAAGTGTTAGATGACTATGGACCCCAGGATCTTGAAAACGATCTCGGTCAAACTTATTCCCTTATAGTTGTCACAAAAGGAGTTTTCCCCTTTCTTATAAATTGAAATGATAAGTGAAGTAGACCAGTCTGATGGGACTACAACCGATTCATATATGCCACCAAGTACTTCCATTACTCTGCGTAGTAATTTCTAACATCCGCCGTTAAAAGCTTCTAGTGGGAAACCATTGGGTTTTGCTGGTTTGTACTGTTTCAGATTTGAAACAGCCTTTTCAACGCGGAGATTTGGAAGACCAACGTCTATGTCCCATTCGGGTTTGAGCTGGATGCTGCGCAACTGAATTGCGCTTCAGTGTTCTGTCCAACGTCCTGGCCATCTGTCTTTATACGTTATCAGGGTCCCATCCTTTTCGGTGATAATCTCATTCACCATCGTCTCCTTTTTGCTTTTATCCTTAATAAGCCTAAATAATTTTAAAGCATTACCCAATATTGTTGTCTTCTCCATCTATCTAGCTCCCACCACTGTTTGCGATCACTGTGAAGACCCTTGGTCAACTTACGTTTGAGCTGCTTTCGGACTTCACTGTGGTCAGACAGTTGGAATCGACCTTTTCACATCGATCAGTTCAGATGACGTTGCGGAAATCCAATGACGTTCGCTAACTTTCGGGTGTAGGTTACCAACTGTATTTACCGCTGTCTATAGAGCAGAGTGAATATCACACCAGGTTTCCTCAGGATTAGCATTGCTATCACGTTCCAATAAATGCTTCGCTGTATCCTCCCTAAATATGCATTTGACGCTCTCATCTACCAACTGATCATACACTGGCTGCACTGTCACCTGTTTTCTATGACTAGACATAGACATACAGACATACGCGTGATCGGAGTGCAAACTAGTACTCCAGAAAGAGCAGCAATCCTCTACCGATCCTCTCCAACGATGGCTTATAACAATATGATCTATCTGTATCCATCGTTGGTTTGATGTCGCCAGACACCATAGGAGAAAATGTCTCTCCTTATGCTTAAAGTCAGTGCTGGCCAGAAACAAATGATTGTCAGAACAAAATTGCAACAGACGGCTACCACTGTCAGTTCGTTGGCACGGGATTCCGTTTTTAGATTTCTTCCAATCCGTTAATTATCGTTTCACGTCTCATCGTTAGAAAATAAGTCAACTAACCAGCAGAAAGTTACATCCCTCAGTTTGTTACTTTTATAAACGTATTGTACATTTTTCTTTATTTAATGTGTTGTGGACCCAATTACTAAGCTGTTTAGACATATCAGGTGTTCATTTAAGGGAACTACAAGTAAAAGGGCTGCAATTTTTTCACATTGTGTTGAATTCATCAAGTGACTCGTAAACATGGGACAATATACGCAAGTTCGGTTGTATGTGGACAGTAAGATGGAAAGAAAGGCATAATCGAGTGAAATTGTTGATGTTATATGGAAGTACAAAACACGTGAACAAATACAAACAATTGACTGAAGTAATAACAGTGTAGTCAAGATTTTCAAGTATAGACAGCTATTTGAAACGCTGATCTTATAGGTCAAGACATCTTAAAAAAGATTCCTAATACTACACTATGGTGCTGCGTACATTATATCACCATGAGTTTTCGTAAGAATAATTCAGTTTTCCCGGAGCGTTTCATGTTTCCAAAGCCGATATACACACAACGTCATGAGAACGGTAATCACAAAACACCCTCTGATAAATAAACGCAACTATTAAGAGCTTAATGGTGGATCCAAGGAAATGTAAACATATAAGAGGGCCACGATACGCCAGTAGGTGTCAACGTATAATCACAAAAAACCTAACTGGATAACACGGACAAAGTTTGAGTTTATAAACTAAAATATACAGTAGCATCAGTTAAAGCATTCTGTTACAGTATCGTAACAGTTTAATGAATGCAAACAATTATAAAAAAGTACCTGAAAGACATAATTGCGCATAACCTGGTCGAGCCAAACATGTTTTTCGTGAAACAGTCCCATTAATAATAGGGATTTCTTTTGTCAGTAGATTTGAAGATGACAAATTCGGATGTAAAGCATCTTCAACTTTTCGCGTTGAATTGATCGCATACAACTTAGTAATTGTGCATGACTGACAAGTAGTGTTTTAGCCGCATCAAGACGTTGTAATGGATTCTGAGCAATTGATAAAATTCGACTAGCTGCTGCTCGTATCTTATAATATCGTTCTAAATCTTGTAACAATTTTGGATCCTGAAAAAGATAATGATTGAAAGATACTCTGTGCAATAGTTGAGATTGAGATAGACGTATTAAACGAGCACTAAAGACAGTAATAAATATAGAAATTTGCTAATCGGAAGAGTATAATAAACTTTTCAATCAATCAATATCAACATAGAACCATACACTACTGAGTAACAGTCCGAGTTGCCACACCTCATCTCATATCACTACATCAAGTAAAAAGGTAATGAGGTGCAACATGAAGATAAGAAAATTCAATCAAATGAAATATTAAGTACGAGAAGAAAGAAAGGAAGAGTGACAGAATGGTGAGATTCGGTATAGCGTAGTTAAGATGACGATAATGTCTGTGGGAATACATCTACGCCATTCACATCGTTTCTCAGCCATGCCATCACCTAGAGTCAGTCTCCAACCACTAGTTCCTCTTGTCCCGCTGACCCCAACCACCTAGTCTGCATCGCCCTACATGGCCTAAACCAACAGTCAGAGACTTCATACATTGATGCTGTGTTTTAGTCTGGCCACCTCGGCCTTTTTCCAGCCTGGACCTACTTCGGCCAACATCGTGTGACGAGGCAATCGGTGACTGGGCACTTTTCAATAAAACAGAAAGTACTTTAAAAAAATGCAGCTGTCAATAGCTTGGCAAGAATTTCGACTATCCCTTAAACTGTGACAAATAACTATACATCCACTAATAAATGGCCATGGTGAACTTATCCACTCATAGATGATATGATAGTGCAAAATGGAAATTAAGCCAATTATCTGTATAGAAAATTTGAATACATTATTCAGCACAAAAAAAGATTTCAGTTGTGGTAATGAACTCAAAGAACTCTGGCAACGAACCAACCAAGAACCTATCGCTCCACCACTATGCAGGAAGTGGAGATGGATTGGGCATACACTGAGAAGGCCGACTGGGGACATCACGAGCCAGGCCCTAGAGTGGAACACAGATGGAAAGCGACGAGCTGGGCTGAGAGGTTGTGGGCTGTTGTGGAGACAGGCTCAAAAGTTTGCAGAGAACAAAGTGCACTGGAGATGTTCTACTGGAGCCCTATGTCCCATTAGAAACCCAAGGGATTAATAATAATAAAATAATACAATGAACTCAATCCACTGAACGATTGAATGATTAAAGTAAACATGAAGCGAATGATCTTATCATAAAGCCACAGCGATCAAACACAAAGAATAGCTACGAAAAACCACCTTGGAAAAAGAGGTTGCTGATAAACTGCTAGAACAATTTCTGACTAATAGTTCAAATAGTCTTACACTACCTATCACAGACGTTCTTATAAAAGTCTCTCTTGTCATCTGACTTCATAGGATATGATTTAATCACAGAAAAATTCTGAGTAGACCAAGAGTATACAGATGACATAGTCCTGCTAGATTAAGACACCGACAAGACGCAGTCTTCTGTACACATTGAGTGGCAGTTTGAAAATGTTTGAAATGCATTTCTCACCACCCAAATGCAAAGTGTTGTTCCAGGACTGGTTTTCAGCAGTGACCTAGGTAACAATAGGAAGTGAAGGGGTAGAGTGCGTTGAACACTTCACTTAACTGGCAAGTCGAATCAGCACTGATGCGTCGGTCAGTGGCCAACGAAATTTTCTTACGGTAACGAAAGGCTCGATTAACTTTCGCCAACTTATGTTATCTGTAGTGCCCCTGAGACATCGTGTTGTCTATTAAGAGTCGAGTGTACAGCGCTCCAGTTCTCCCTACTCTACTGTATGACTGTGAAACATAGCCAATAAAGACAGACGACATAGAAAGGTTTCAAGTCTTCGGTCACTATCGCCTTCGTGACTTGAAGCACAAATTAGATGACATACATTTAGATTATGATGAAAAAATGGTTAGTTTTGATGTAGTCAGTCTGTATACCAATATACCGATTAACATGGTCCTGGAAGCAGTTAGAAACGAGCTCAACAATGACCACGAATTTACACTGCGAACCAAGGTAACAATAGATGATATCATACTAGGAGTACAGCTATGCCTAACTTACACAATATTTAGGTTTCAGAATAAAATATACGAACAAACAGAAGGAGTTGCCATGGGATCACCAATATCCCCTATTGTGGCTGACATATTTATGGATAGTTGGGAACGGATGGCTGTAGGAAAATATAGTCCGGATCCAAAAATATGGTTTCGCTATGTAGACGACACATTTACAATGTTGAAATCGGAACACATACATAAATTCAGTAGTCAACGCAATCCAATTCACCTATGAATTGGAAAATAGTGAAGGAGAATTAGCGATGTTGGATTGCAGAATAAAACGAAAACAAGATGGGAGTTCAGATACTAGTGTCTACAGAAAACCTTCACATTCAAACCGTTACTTTGACTTCACATCGTCTCGTCTCACCCTATGTCAGTTAAAGTTGGTTTGGTAAAATATCTGAGTAACAGGGCCAAAAAACTTACTAGTAAAACTTCGAAATAAGCTTTGTAGGCTAAAAGATTCTGTTGACCCAATTAAGCAGAATAACTTAATTTACCAAATCCCTTGCAACGATTGCGTGGTCAAATACACAGGTCAAAGTAGTCGACCAGGATCAATTAGGCTATCGGAACACAAAAACTTCGTTAGGTCAAAATCAGGTAGATCCTAGTAAGGAAAGGAATTTAGAAAAAAGCTCAGTCATAGCTATGCATGCAATTACACACAACCACACAATAGGATGAGACAGGGTGAAGATTCTTAAAACTAACATAACAGGGTGGAGGGAGAAGTTGATAACCGGATCTTTGTTCTTCGAATCAACATCTAACACATGCAACAGGAATGACTCAGCAGCTGTTCCGGATATATGGAAAATGTTACTGCCCACCTCACAAAGATACGAGAAAATTAGGACTATATAAAGGATATCTCAAAGTTGTGTGGACAATAAATTATGTCCGAAACGTAACCCAGCAAACAATACTGTTACACTGTGTGATAAATCTAATGAATCGATAAAAATGGAATAAAATACTGTATCACTGAATGCAATCTTTCACTGTTGGTCCGACCTGTGGAGGAAAATGTTGACTTCACTGTTGGGGTCCACGTGACAACAGAAACTATGGTTTGGTTCTAAGTGGTATGGCTCATAATCAATGTCAGTCATGCAGATATATCCACACAATATCTTCATCTTAATCGTCATCCTGAATTCGGTATTTTCTCATTCCTCCTTTCTCTCATTCACTGCTTTCTATTGCTTTTGACCGATTCTTCTACATCTTTTTATCTGCCATTATAGTACTTCCCCCCATGATGTGATGATATGAGGTGCGGCAACTTGGAGCGTTAAGCAGTAAATTCTGGCCCCATGTAGATAGTGATGATGATCGAGGAAGGTTGGTAAACCATTCCTTACCTTAATGTTATGTAGCTTATTTGCGCTACTGGTTATAAACCATGATCTTTAAATTTTATTGGATGAATTCTTTGCATCCGCTAGTCTGATGATTAGCGACAATTATTAATTTTCCCCCCCTTTATTTTTCATGGAAAAACACAAACATGAAAGCAGTGAACAGAAGATGTGACCGAATATCAAAGGCTTTAACTAGTGTTATGGTCTGTTAAATGACAAAATATGTTATGCATAGAAAATATTCAACTCCCCAATGCTCTCCAACGACCATATACAGAGAGACGCTTTGTATGTCGAACCAGTAGGTCCATGGTCTCTCAAGCCACACCATGGGAATGGGCATGCATGGGACAATAATCCATCCACGACTCAATATCATAAGATGAGTGCCTGCTAAATCTAACTAACTACTATCATTCAAAAACATTCCTAGTATATGAAGACTTTAAAGATCTTACTTGTAAAAAACTCGGTAATGATGTCTGCGAAAAACGTCTATGCACTAAAGCAGCGATTTATACGTTATCTTATTTAATTCTTCACATATAACGGTAGGCATTTTTCCAAAATTCAATGAAACAGATATATTCAAGTGCGTAAAATCGCTAAAACTACAACATAGCTTAGGACTACATGGCATGTAAGTTATTCGATTCAGCAAATGTGTTGATATTCTATGTCATCCACTAACAGACATTTTTAACGACTTGTTTGCCAAGAATGATATACTAACCACCTAAAAGGGAATTAGAACAGTCCTCGTATCCAAGTTCATATTTTTCGGAGCAAGTGTGAAATCCAAACCGATCGCAATAACCTAACTATTCCTAAAAGCAATGGAAAAAGTGTTCATGTGCTCGAACTTCCGTTGCAGCACATATTATACTGATGTCGAAGAAAATTATTCGCTTGATTTTTTATGCAAGGAAACTAAGATTGTCTGGCATAACTCAGCCTCTACTCCCCCGTTTCGTTAATTTCTGTGTTTAGCCTGTACTTATATATTGTTCCCCCTTATTTTTTCCTGGACCCTAGAAAAAAGACTATGCTATATTGTGTAGGTTTCTGAAGGCTGTCAGTAGAGCAAATGGTACACCACTGACCATACTGATAAATGCGGTGTGGAAAGACATCTTAACTCTTGTAAACAGCTGTCTAAAAATATTTTATCCGATGAAAACATCCTCTGCATTCACACCTATCCCCATGTCTGTTCATATGGAAGACAAGAAGCCAATACAATAAAATTTATGCACGTACAACTATATACGAAAATCCGACTATACTTTATTTAGCTTGTGTATTGTGTGAATAAAAGCACGTAAGAAACAGTCTTATCAATTAGATTTGTAATAGCAGAAAGTTATCATAACCGTGCAGAAACTACACACTTGTACCTGCCCAACATCTAGCTTGAACCTGAATGACACGTAGTTGTTGAACCTCCGGACTGTCTTATAAGCTGCATCGAACCCGAAACGACGCAAAGCGACAAAAACTAACAGTTTGCCAACCGAAATTTCCAAGGATGAAGGTAGGAAATTGCTAAGTAAGGTGACGGATACACTAGACAGTGTATGGAAATCAGAGGTAGTGCTA